GAACAGAAGTGTTATTGGACAACATTGCCCCACTTCCAGGTTTGCCTTTATTTTAACATTTAAGTTCAATTTTCCATCACCTCACTCCAGCTGGATCTCACTGTTGTTGACGTCTTCATTAGGAGAGGATCGGTTCTCCGCGGAGGCCAATTCTGCACTGGAAGAGATGACGAGAGGAGTTCCATTGCTGGCACAAGTGAGTCTTTAAATCATTCATTAATGGATGACATTTATGTTGATTATGTTTATAGCCAGCAGATAATTTAATGGGCTGTTTTGATATATAGGTCACCAACTACGACAATAATACAGGACTTCCTTTAGTACACATGTGGAACATGGTGGGAGAGGAGGTAAAATTCATTTATTGTTGTATTTTTCTGTACATTCATAATTTGTTTTCCTCAAGCATTTTATTTTAAGAAATGTTTAATTCAGAACTTAATATTCTGACATTTTAAAGCTTGTTCACTCCAAGGACGTTAACTATAACAATAAAGAAAGTATATAGATATGGTTTTACAAATCATTCTAAATTTAAAGGAATAGCAGAGTCCACACCACAACTGGAACAATAACAATATCAACAATATCATTGAAATCACTTTCAGAATGATTTGTTCTAGCTGATAAAAATGTAGACGGCAAATCAGAATCCATCCTGCTATTATATAGAGTTTAAGCATTTAAAATGGCAGATGACAATCTTTTTCGTGTTTTGGTGTGCATGCTAATATAGTTTTGTTTTCCATATGCAATCTTACTCCTTTTGAGAGGCTATCTTGCTTCATTTTCATGTCTTTGATAACATGAATAACATGATGATACATGGTTCCTTTTTTGTAGCTGGTCCTGCTCAACCGCACTTTGGCAGAGCGAGGTTATGGCACTTGGGTGGACAGTTTCTGATCCTCCAGAGCTCCCTCGCCCTCCTCTCCTAACTCACCTCGTGGCCCACCTGCCCCTTAATTATCACCACTCATCATGAATATCTGCAGGTTCTGTCCTCCTCACCCCATCGTGTCCTCCACCACCTTCTACCTGAAGTGCGCATCACTGGCTCCGGGAGTTTCTTTTTTGGTTTG